GTACTTTCAATGGGCAAATACAGTCAAAATTGTACAAAACCGAAAAATCCGTTGTTTAAATGATACACGATAAACTGTACACGACCCAGTATTTCAAATCGCGTTGTGCGTCAGTAAAAGGTCATCCTTTGTTATGCTAATTTGTGTGTTTACGCTGCTCTATTCAACGTGAATATGTTTCTTTTTCATGTGGAATAAAAATTAATTTGTATTCAATTTGAACCGTGTTGCGCATGTAATTTTTGTATGCATTCAGCGTACAACTACATACTATTCTTATAAATATTCATGTTCAAGGGCCATAATCATGATCTTTTAGTAGATGAAAGTAAACTCTTTTTTTACTAGTTCTATCGAATTGTCAATATACTGGTATAATATTGCGGCTCGTGCATATATGTCGTGAATTGTGCAATATCTCGTGGTATACCCGCCTTCGGCGGGGGTTATTGCTTAAATATAGTATGCAAAATTATCTGCTACACAACTAGCACCAATCACCACAGAAGAACGACTTAATAAAAACTCAGAATGTATTCACTAACGGAAAACCGGCTGGCAATCCGGAGACTTACAACTCGATATCAACGATATAACACAAATTGTAAGAATGCCCTTGATATACATCGATAAACTCTTGATCGTGTAAGAAAATTAGTGGGAAAGCTTCTAATTGGATGAATATAAAAATTGAAACAAAAGAACACACTGCGGTGGTTTCTACCACGTTCGCATTCATGTCGTCGTCTCACTATTTTGCAACAATGTACAAGTCAGAATACAGCATTATTGAACTTGTATAAAACGAAATGAATAAAGCGATTAACAAATATTGCATGTTTCAATTACAATGCTTCACAGATAAATGATTCAGAAATTACTCCGACAAAGATCTATGTAGTGAGTCTCATTGAAATATGATGATTAGTACTTGAGATATCAGGCAAAAAGCGGAAAATTTACCAATTATGCTAATAAGGTAATTGATATGCACAAATATTTAACCAAAAACTAATCAGGGGTCTGCACAGTCCTTAAGTAACTATGTACCAAGTTTCATTGATATGTGATGATTACTACTTGAAATATCAAAAGCTGAAAATTAATTAATTATGCAAATTAGGTAATTAATATGTACTGATATTACACTAAAAACTATCAGGTCTGTGCAGAGTCCTATGACATTTATGTACCAAGTTTTATTGAAATGTGATGATTACTACTTAAAATATCAAAAGCTGAAAATTAATTAATTATGCAAATTAGGTAATTAATATGTACTGATATTACACTAAAAACTATCAGGTCTGTGCAGAGTCCTATGACATCTATTTACCAAGTTTTATTGAAATGTGATGATTACTACTAAAAATATCAAAAGCTGAAAATTAATTAATTATGCAAATTAGGTAATTAATAGGTACGGATATTACCCTAAAAACTATCAGGTATGTGCAGTGTCCTATGATATCTATGTACCAAGTTTTATTGAAATGTGATGATTAGTACTTGAGATATTAGTGGGAAAGCCAAAAATTGATTAAATCATTATGCAAATTAGATAATTAATATTGCACAGATTTTTTCGCCAGTACTAATTAAATCAGCGCATTAGTTCAGAGTATCTATGTGCTAAGTTTCATTAAAATTCAATGAGTGGTTCTTTAGATATCAGTGGAAGAGTCATGGAACAGCTAAAAATCAGCTAATTATCATGCAAATTAGGTAATTAATATGCATGGCTTTTTACCAAAACCTGATCAAATCTGCGTATTGGCCCAGAGCATCTATGCACCAAGTTTCATCAAAAATCAATGTATGGTTCTTGAGATATCAGTGGAAGAGACACACACACACACAGACACACACACACACACACAGACACACACACA